GGCACGCCATGCACCAAAAGGTTTTATTGGTGCACCAGTGGCACGCCATTAGATTATAACTGCACCAGCAACCCTAGAAAGAGGGCTTGCAGAGGTATGTTATGCATTTAAAAACCAAAATTTTGTATAACCTGTTGTGTTTCATAATTCAAAAGAGTATACTGGTATAATTAATAATTTGTGAATGAGGTAATTTCATTTATGTGCGAGTATGATTAAGTTTTAATGATTTATATTTGATATTTATTTTTAACACATCATTAAAAGCATGTTACGAAGTTGGCAATAAAATTCATTATTAAGGTTCAAAAGATCTAATTAGTGATCAGAATCAACTTAAATTCGAGTTAAACCGGTTTTATTTTACCTAAATGTTAAGTTATATATACTTTAGTAAATAGCATTTTATGTACTGCTGTAACACTAAAACTATTTAGATCAAATTAATATTTGAATAAATTCTAAGTTTTAAATCAGTAATCGTATCAATCGTGAGTATAGGGATAAAATTTCGTTCATAAATCTATTTTGCATTGTAAAGTTTTATAGCATCAATTCAAATCAATTGATTTTGCCAATTTAGTTTCGAACTCAAATTTCATTTAAAAATATTTTTAGTCGACATTCTCCCCGACAAAACATTTTTACTTAAATTAAAAAATATGGTGGGTCTTGAGAAAGCATAATAATTTCGTATAACGATCTTTTTTTTTTCTTTCAAAATTATCAGTTTATAACAACGTTTGATAATATAAATTATATAAATTATACAATTAGATATCATTTATTACAATTTAATACAAACTATACAATTCATGAATGACATCATAATTCATCTATGTCATAAAATTTTGCTTGACTAGCATTATGACATCCGTCTCTTTAAGAAAAAACCCTAAGAGATTAGATAGAAATGATAAAACTTGAAAGTTTGAAATAGGCATCTAGTTTATTTGTGGCTACAGCAGAGACAGTGGGTTGTTACACAGAGCTGTTACACAATTGATAATGAATTTTTTATGTTATTTTACAATACTTTTTTGAAAGGCTTATGTGCCTTATTCTTTCTAAGAAATGTAAAAAATTCTTTAAGAAAATAGAAGCTCACACTTTGCTTTACAACATATTTCTTGAATCCCTTTGAATCCCAAAATTTTGTAAATCAGTAATTTGATTGGTCGAACAATCGGGTTATGCTATTTTGATTGGTCCAAACAATGATAAGTTAACATAAAAATCATTTCCATATTCGGTTTGTCTTTGCTGTAATTTGTGGCACATGATTTAAAGCTTAATCACTTTTTTTTGTTTTGGGTATATTGTTTAAACAGTTCTTTAAGGTTGTTAACATCTTCACTGGTTACAATATTGTATTTATATTCTGAGTCAGAAGGAATTACAAACCACACAACTTTTTTTCATCTGTCATGAATATAATTTTGTAATCCTTTTTAGCATTATTGTTTTCTTTGTAATTCTTATTAATGTCTTCATTTTCATTAATGGGGTAGTTCTTTTTAATGTCTTCATTTTCATTACGATAGCCATATTTAAGATTCGTACTATATTCATTGGATGACCGATGGGAGTAGGTGAGATATTGAAATAAACCAGTTTCAAGAATATTCACGTAAAGTTTAAGTTTTTGGTCTGTCAGATACTTTTCAGCTATGTATGCTTCATCTTTTGGTCTTACGCATTTGAATTTAGGAATGTTTTTGATAATTTTAATAAATTTACTAAATTCATCTTTACTATTAGATTTTGTCTTATACTTTTCCAAAAATACCAAAATGCAGTTAAAGCAATTTTATCTTTTATAACAATAGTA